GGCACCATGAGTGGGATCTACTTATAAAAAATCATCCACTGAGAACCCTGTGGGGCACAATCCTACTCTGACACACACAGGGCACCATGAGTGGGATCTACTTATAAAAAATCATCCACTGAGAACCCTGTGGGCACAGTTCTACTCTGACTTGCATGTAGGTGGTACATAGTCGGATGAATTGAGCAGTAGTGGGTTTGTTTTCTTGGTTTTGAGCACATGCAGTCTGCCCTGCCTGTGTGCTGTTGACTGGAGCATGTCTCAGGTGGTCAGATGTCCCTTCCAGGCCTCATTGCTTCGTCCCAGGGTGGGAGTTTCCCCCTGCTGAACCACAGATGCTAAGGTCCCAGCAGTGACGGGTGTTATTCTGGTTCCTCGGAGGATGCGAGCTTCTTCCTGGGATGAAGGAAATTTTACTGTGTCAGCCTCTCTGTTGTCTGTGAGGGGTCTGTACGTGTGGGGGTCTGGCCCACCCTGGGAGCCCTCAAGGGGTGCAGTGGTGAATGCTGTAGCAGGACCCCACAGAGGACCCCACCTTGTTTCAGGACCTCCAGGGCAGGCATGGGACAGGGAAGCTAGGGGGATGGGGACTGCCCCTCAAGGACCCCACAGGAGAAGTTCCTGATGTCCCTGTGCTTTATGGGGTCTCTGGGGTGGAGGGTGGTCACCAGAGTGTTCATGGAGTAGAGGCATCAGGGAGGACCAGGGCTGTCCCCCAGGGGTGCAGATGGCCAGTACTGAGTGACGTCCAGTGGGTCGTGGACGCTCTTGGCGGGCTCAGAGGTGACTCCGGGAAATTCAGCTCGGGGATTTCAGGGTTTTTATTACACTTCCTTCCAAGGCTTTGTTATCTGAACGTTTCCGAACTCCTGAGCTCACTCCCTCGGCCAGCATACAGGCGGGGGTCGGATTCCCAGCCTTTGAGTCAGAATGCGGTCAAAACATAAACACATTGCCAGACACACGGACACACAGACATAAAGACACAGCCAGACACACGGACACACACAACCAGACACATGGACGAACACACACACACATTACAGACAACACGGACCACATGCGCAGAGGCCCACAGACACATGTGTGTCTCACAAAATCACACAAAAACACACACACACACTGTACATACCTCACATGCACACATCACACACCTCACATACACAAACACACACCTCACACACACCTCATACACGCCTTACATACCTACACACCTCACACACACAGACACACACACCACACACACTTCACACACATACACAGTATACACACCTCATATGCACACATCACACACACACCTCACACACACCTTATACACACTTTACACACCTACACACAAACACACATACTGCACACACACCTCACACACACCTCAAACACACACACACATATACACATCTCACACACAAACACACCTCATACACACCTTACACACCTACACACTTCACACACACACCACACACACCTCATACACATTATACAAACCTCACACACACACCTCACACACTATATATACACCTCACACACACAAACACACACCTCACACACATCTTATACACCCCTTACACACCTACACACAAACACACACACAGACACACACACCTCACAAACACCTCAAACACACACACACACATACACATCTCACACACACACGCCCCCCTTCCGTAAGGAACAGGATGTCCTGCACCCTCCGTCCGTCTGTCCCTCTGTCCTGCTGCCCTTGCATGGCCGCCTCCCTCTTGTCTCTCAGCCCCCTGCCCACCGGAACGGCCTCAGCATGTCCCCCACCTGGCTGACCACCCCTGTCACCTTGTTCCTGGTACCCATCTGCTGTCTGCTGGCGAGGGACCCAGGTAAGCACCCCCTGAACCAGGGTCGCTGACTTCACTCCAGGTTGCAACAGGAGATATCTGGGCAGCCTCCCCCATTTGTCACCAACAGGTAAGGAAAGGACAAGGACGTGCAAAACGCCGGGGTGGGGTGGGGGCATTGCAAATGCACTGGCATTAGACTGACAGATGGTCACACTACGTTGTGAACCAACCAACGGACGCTGAATCCTGTACTTCAAAGCGGCTAAAATGGCCAATGGTGAGGACTGTCGGAACAATACTGGACTGCTGAACACAAGTTCAGCGGTTCAAACCCACCAGCTGCTCCTCGGAAACCCTATACAGGATAGCTATCAGTTGGAACTGACTCGACAGCACTTCACAACAACAACAAAACGGTCAATCCACCGTAAAAACACAAAAAACAAAGCATAGTTCAACATCACAGCTAAGATTGATCTGGAGGTAAGAAGCTAGGATGTTTTTCCCCTAAGATACACCACAAACCTTGCCAAAATGACCAGGTGATGGCACCTGTGAGCTAAAATATAACAAAAATATAAAAAGATTAGCAGCGTATGGTTGTTAGGTGCAGTCCGTGGGGTCGATTCCAACTCACAGCGACCCTATGCACAACAGGAAGAAACAGTCCCTGATCCCGAGTCATGCTCACATCACAATTTCGTATTGTTTTTAATCTTCCTTCACTCTATCTGATAATGTCTCCCTGCTAGTCACAAAGTTTTCAGGGAGTAAACATCAGAGGTACTCCGCCTCTCTCCTTCTTTCTAGTCTGTCTTAGTCTGAAAGTTCACCTGAAACCTATCCACCATGGGTGACCATGCTGGAATTTTCATTTGTACTTGATTTTTAATGCCACAACGACTTCTTAGGTACCTCAGGTGGAGGGAGACTTTTTCACTCTCTGACACTCTTGCATGTCAGTCCTGACATGAACCTGTTGACACTTCAGATGCAAACGTGCCGATCAGAAACATCAGGTTGGATCAAAATCAGAGAAGAGTAACCTGGGACATCAGTGGAAATGTTGAGGAAATTTATTGCTTCACAGAGTCAATCAGTTACAAGGTAAACCTCGTTCCTTACCTAGCTCTCTACATGTCTCTGTCTTGTTTCATGACGTGTGGACCATCCTAAACCAGACTGGATGATCTTGTGCTCCTATAACAGAAATACCACAGGGGGGCGGGTTTCATGAACAGAAACTTATTTTCTTCCAGTTCCTGATGCTACAAGTCTGAATTCAAGTCAAGTAGAGTTCCCCTCCCCACTCCTCTCTTCCCCTCTCCCTCCCCCTTCCCCTCCCCCTCCCCATCTCTCTTCCCCTCCTTTCGTCTTCCTCCCCAACACCCAAACTATCATGTGTCTATTCCCT